CCCTCTTGCTTTAGCTATCTGAGTAACTGGGATTAGAGAAACTAGATGTATAAACATACTTTTTTTTTTTTTTTTTGTCCGTTGTGAGGCTTGAACTCTGGGCCTGGGCGCTGTCCCTCAGCTCTTCAGCTCAAGGCTAGTGCTCTACCACTTGAGCTACAGCGCTACTTCCGGTTTTCTGGTGGTTTATTGGAGATAACAGTTTCACGGACTTTCCTGCCTGGGCTGGCTTTGAACAGTGATCCGTGAGCCACTGGCGCACGGCTCTAACATACCCATTTTGATGCTTTAATTTTTGTCTTTCCCCAAATCTAGTATGCAGTCTTGGACGCTTTATCTCTCACTATTACAAACTCTGTGTGTGTGTGTGTGTGTGTGTGTGTGTGCGCACACGTGCGCACAGGTGCCAGACTTGGGGCTTCTTCCCTTCAAGGTTAGCAGTCTACCATTTGAGCCACAGCACCACTTCTCACTTCCGGCTTTTTCTGTTTATATTGTACTAAGAAATCGAAGCCAGGACTTCATGATGCTAGGCAAACACTCTACCACTAAGCCACATTCCCAGCCCTACAAACTTATTTTGATCACTGCTAGTGTTCTACCACTTGAGTCACCTCTAATACTGACTTTTTGCTGGTTAATTAGATATTAAAGTCTGTTACTATTTTGAACCCTGGGCCTGGGCGCTGTCCCTCAGCTCTTCAGCTCAAGGCTAGCGCTCTACTACTGGAGCCACAGTGCCACTTCTGGCTTTTTCTGCTTATGTGGTGCTGAGGAATTGAACCCAGGGCCTCATGCATGCAAGGCAAACACTCTACCACTGAGTCACCTTCCCAGCCCCAAAAAGTCTGTTACATTTAAGCCGAGTGCCGAGTGCTGGTGGCTCACGCCTGTAATCCTAGCTACTCAAGAGGTTGAGATCATGGTTCAAAGCCAGCCCAGGCCAGGAAAGTCCTTGAGACTCTTATCTCCAATTAACCACCAGAAAACAAGAAGTAGCACTGTGGTTCAAGCGGTAGAGCACTTGCCTTGAGCTGAAGAGCTAAGGGACAGCGCCCAGGCCCAGGGTTCAAGACCCATGACTGACCAAAAAAAAAAAAGTCTGTTAATATTTGTCTACCTATGCTGGCTTTGAATCTTGCTTCTCAGAACTTAGCATCCCAAATAGCTGGGATTATAGGCATGCACCACTTTCTGAAGGTTATTTTATAGATGGAGTCTCAGGGACTTTTCTGCCAGAGCTGGCTTTAACCTTGATCTTCCAGATCTTAGTCTCCTGAGAAGGCTAAGATTGGTGTGAGCCACCAATGTCAGTCTTCAAAATAAAATTCTAGCCAAGCACTGGCGGCTCAAGCCTGTAATTCTAGCTACTCAGGAGGCTGAGATCTGAGGATCATGGTTCAAAGCCAACTTGGACAGGAAAGTCTGTGAGACTTTTATCTCCAGTTAGCCACCAGAAAACTGGAAGTGGTGATATGGCTCAAGGGGTAGAGTGCTCACCTTGAGCTGGAGAGCTTAGAGACAGCACCCAGGCCCAGACTTTAAACCCCACAACCGACAAAAAATAATAATAATAAAATAAAGTTCCAAAAGAGCTGAAGATATAACTCAGAAGTATATCTCTTTCCTAGCATGTGTAAAGCCCTAAGTTTAATCCCAGCACTAAAAAAAAATGGCAATATCATAAATGAAAAGGTGGTTTTACTCCAGACACAGGTGGCTCAAGTCTGTAATCCTAGCTACTCAGTAGGCCAAGATCTGAGGATTGAGGTTCAAAACCATCCTAGGCAGAAAAGTACATGAGACGTTTATCTCCAATAAATTACCAAAAAGCCAAAGGTACAGCTGTGACTCAAGTGGTAGGATATCATCAGCCTTGAGCAACAAAAAAACTAAGGGACAGTGTTTAGGCACTGAGTTTAAGCCCTAGTACCAGAGCATACACACATACCCCTCCCCATAACCCCACATTCTTAGGAACCTACAAAAAAGTCACCAAAAGAGACAGGTATATTTAGCAAAGTTTAGCATATACAGACAATATGCCAAAATCAATTGTTGGATTTGTATTGGCAACAAACAGAAAACTTTAAGAGTATATAATACTGTAGATCACCTCTATAATAATAAAAAGTGTGTGTATATTTACATTTATATATAATCTACAATAGTATCACAAAAATATTTCCCTAAAAACGTGGAACCTGCCAGGTGCCTGTGGCTCACGCCTGTAATCCTAGCTACTCAGGAGGCTGAGATCTGAGGATCACAGTTCAAGCCAGCCCAGGTGGGAAAGTCTTTAAGACTCTTGTATCCAATAAACCACCAGAAAACTGGAAGTGGTACTGTGGTTCAAGTGGTAGAGCGCTAGCCTTGAGCTGAAGAGCTGAGGGACAGTGCCCAGGCCCAGAGTTCAAGCCCTACAACTAAAAAGAAAAAGAAAAATGTGGAGCCTAAACTGACTTCTAACAAATAGGAAGAAACAAAAGGCAAACATAATGGTATAAACCTTCAAGACAGGTCATAAAAGGCAACCTAGCTTCCTGCTCCCTCTCCTTGGAACACTGGGAAACTGGCTGCTGTGCTGTGCTATTCAATCACCTATGGGTGACCTGCTGTGGCAGGTCCACAGGTGAGGAAGCAAGGCCTCATCCATAGAAGCAGAGCAGGGAGCCACCTTTCCTGTCAGCTTTTCAGCCCTGGAAAACTATTCTAAGAGCAGCAATGAGATGAAGCCTGACCATTCAGCGAGGCCATTCTTTTATTTAGCCAGTCGGAGGGCTTGAACTCAGGGCCTGGGTACTGTCCCTGAGCTCCATTTGCTCAAGGCTAGCATTCTACCACTTAAGCCACAGCACCACTTTTGGTTTTTTTCTGTGTATGTGGTACTGAGGAATTGAACCCAGGACTACATGCGTGCTAGGCAAGCACTCTACCACTGTGGCTGCTTTTCCACAAATAGCAGGAAATAGATGCGAAGGAAGCCATGTAGCTGGCAAACCTGGGATATTTATAGAACAGGTTTGAAGCCCTAGTTTATTACATGCATGCCACCCTCACAGTGGCTGCTCCTTCTGCTGGGAAAGTTCCCTCACCAGATTACATCTTCACGTCTTCTTTTTTAATTTTTTGGTCAATTGTGGGGCTTGAACTCAAGGTGTAGGCATTGTCCCTGAGCTCTTTTACTCAAGACTAGCACTCTACCACTTTGAGCCAGAGGGCCACTTTCAGTTTTCTGGTAGTTAATTGGAGATAAGAATCTCACAGGCTTTCCAGCCTGGGCTTGCTCTGAACCACGATCCTCAGATCTCAGTCTCCTGAGTAGCTAGGATTACAGGCATAAGCTACCAGCAGCTGGTTCTGATCACATTTTAAGTGTTGCCTCCTTGCTCAGTGGTAGAGCGCTTGCCTTGCATGCCTGAGGCCCTGGGTTCGATTCCCCAGCACCACATAAGCAAGAAGAAAAAAGCCAGAAGTGGCACTATGGCTCAAGTGGTAGAGCGCTAGCCTTGAGCTGAAGAGCTGAGGGACAGCGCCTAGGCCCAGAGTTCAGGCCCGAGGACCGCACCCAAAAATAAATAAATAAATAAATGTTACCTCCTCAACATTCTTCTGTGATTACTTTGTAACTTTCTCACCACATTTTAATTTTTGACATACCATTCAGTATCCTAAGGACAGCTCAGCCCAGTGTCTGCCTCACAACAAACAATAACTGGTGAATAAACAGGTGGTCACTTCATGTACAACCCAGGATGGGACACAGGATACATCAGAGAAAGGCCTCGCTCAGGTGTACATGATTTGGTGCCAGGGACACACAGGAGGAAGTTCCAAGAGAGGCTGTGAGTGAGGCACTTCAGCAGGTGTATGCAGAGCAAGCACTGGGATGGGGCACATTTAGGGTAGGGCAAGAACCTGGAGGCTGTTACAATATCTTGGGTCACCTGGACTAGGGCTCCTAAACTGCACACAATGAAGACATTACAGCAAGCTGCCATAAGATCAGAGGTTCAGGAATCCCTCAGATGCAGCCCCAAAACTGAGCCTAAAGATGCTGGAGCCCCCTTGTTCGGCATCTGTCAGCCCAGGCAACTCTTTAGGAAGAGCAGAATCTAGGGAGACCTGAAGCAGTGGAGGAAGCAGACCAGGAAGAGCCAATCAAGCAGTGTTGGGAGTCAGCACCATGGCCCAGGCCTACCCCAAAACTCTGGAGGTTGAGGCAGAGGATCCATGAGCTGGTGGCCTCTGCCAATAGGGAATAGTCCAGGAGTGAGAATGAAGGATGGGCTAAAGTCATCACAGAGATGGAGCTTTGGGACAGAGACAGGCAGCTCGCCCCTCAGAGCTCTGAGCACTGATGTGGCATGATGAAAACATGGAGCCAGTGTCTGGGCAGATCTCACCCGGCAACCCAGCTCCGTGGCGGAGCTCTCCAGGCTGAGTAGTGCCAGCTCGGCCGCCCTGAAGCAAACTAGGTGGTGTTGCAGAGGCCTAGGCCTTCAGGGAGGCCAGGCAGCCTCAGGGAAAAGAACCACCCGGGGAGGAACACCGTCCTGCCAGGGAACACCCGGGAAGCAGAAATGACCCAGGGGACTCACTGCTGGGCTAGGCCAAGAAAGGGAGGCGCAGGGCTTTGGGGGGGCTGGGTGTGCTCGGCGCCCGGGCGCGGGCGAGTCCACACGCACCTCTCTTCCCGGCACTCGTGGGAGTTAACTCCACCATGTTCTGAGCCCAAACCAGGCCAAGAGCCTCACACAGACTGGTCAGCGCGTCCGGCCTGACCCCCACCCACGAGGAGCCCGCGGCCCGCGCTCGGGCGCCCGCGCCACCGGGCCCGCGCCTCGCCGCCCTGCCGTCCCCGGACCGGCCCGCTGCAGGAAACGGCTTCCCTGGGGAGAGCAGACACGCGGCCGCGGCCCCCGGGAGGCCGCCCAGCTGCCCGCGGGAGCCGCCCGGGGCCCGGCGCCGCCGCCCGCCGCCCGCCGGACGCGCCTCACCTGCAGCTCGCGGGCCGCGCCCCGGCTCAGCGCGGCCGCGGGTCACTCGACCCCGCGCAGCTCCGGGCGCCGCGGGGGCGGACCCCGCTCCCGCCTCACCATGGCAACGCGACACTTCCGACCCGCGCTGTCCCGAGCGGAAGCCGCAATGCCCCGTGGGAGCGGGGGCGTGGCCACGCGCCGGGGGCGTGGTCAGAGTCCGGGGCGGGGCCGGCGGGGCCCTCCTCGCCCGGGGGGGCGGGGCCCTCCTCGCCCGGGGGGGCGGGGCCCTCCTCGCCCGGGGGGTCGGCGCCCTCCTCGCCCGGGGGGGCGGGGCCCTCCTCGCCCGGGGGGGCGGGGCCGGCGGGGCCCTCCTCGCCCGGGGGGGCGGGGCCCTCCTCGCCCGGGGGGGCGGGGCCCTCCTCGCCCGGGGGGGCGGGGCCCTCCTCGCCCGGGGGGGCGGCGCCCTCCTCGCCCGGGGGGGCGGCGCCCTCCTCGCCCGGGGGTCGGGGCCCTCCTCGCCCGGGGGGTCGGGGCCCTGCTCGCCCGGGGCGGCGGGGCCCTCCTCGCCCGGGGCGGCGGGGCCCTCCTCGCCCGGGGGGGCGGGGCCCTCCTCGCCCGGGCCGGCGGCGCCCTCCTCGCCCGGCCGTCGCCCTCCTCGCCCGGGAGGCGCGGGTCTCTGGCTGCTGGGTCCGTAGCAGTGCGTGGAGCTTCCGCACCTGACCCCCGGTGGGGCGGGAAGCACATCTGTGAGACGCTCCCGGAAGGGCGTCTGACACGCTGCGCCCAACCTGAGGAGCAGCTCTGAGGGAGGCATCTGGGGTGGCCTGAGGGACGCAGGGGACCGCAGGGGGGGACCGCAGAGGGGCCGCAGGGGGGGACCGCAGGGGGACCGCAGGGGGACCGCAGGGGGGGGGCCGCAGGGGGGGACCGCAGGGGGGGACCGCAGGGGGGGGACCGCAGGGGGGGGACCGCAGGGGGACCGCAGGGGGGGACCGCAGGGGGGGACCGCAGGGGGGGGGCCGCAGGGGGGGACCGCAGGGGGGGGGCCGCAGGGGGGGACCGCAGGGGGGGACTGCAGAGGGACCGCAGGGGGGGACCGCAGGGGGGGACCGCAGGGGGGGACCGCAGGGGGGGGACCGCAGAGGGACCGCAGGGGAGGACCGCAGGGGGGACCGCTGAGGGACCTCAGGGGGGGACCGCAGGGGGGGACCGCAGGGGGACCGCAGGGGGACCGCAGGGGGGGACCGCAGGGGGGGGACCGCAGGGGGACCGCAGGGGGGGACCGCAGGGGGGGGACCGCAGGGGGACCGCAGGGGGGGACTGCAGAGGGACCGCAGGGGGGGACCGCAGGGGGGGACCGCAGGGGGGGACCGCAGGGGGGGGACCGCAGGGGGGGACCGCAGAGGGACCGCAGGGGGGGACCGCAGGGGGGGGCCGCAGGGGGGGGACCGCAGGGGGGGGACCGCAGGGGGGGACCGCAGGGGGGGACCGCAGGGGGGGACCGCAGGGGGGGGACCGCAGAGGGACCGCAGGGGGGGGCCGCAGGGGGGGGCCGCAGGGGGGGACCGCAGGGGGGGGACCGCAGGGGGGGACTGCAGAGGGACCGCAGGGGGGGACCGCAGGGGGACCGCAGGGGGGGGACCGCAGGGGGGGACCGCAGGGGGGGACCGCAGGGGGGGACCGCAGGGGGGGACCGCAGGGGGAGACCGCAGGGGGGGACCGCAGGGGGGGACCGCAGAGGGACCGCAGGGGAGGACCGCAGGGGGGACCGCTGAGGGACCTCAGGGGGGGACCACAGGGGGGGGACCTCGGGGGGGGGAACCGCAGAGGGGGCCGGGATGAGGCCCGGCCAGCGCCTGAGAGCAGGCCGCAGCTCCGGCGTTAGCAGCGCGCCCTGGGAAGTGTGGCCCGAGAAGAGCAGCCAGGTCGAGGAGCCTGGAGGCGCCAGTCCGAGGGGAGACTCCGCTCATCCTGGAAGGGGACTCCTCAGACTCGGGAGGGAACCACCTTTTTGCCAAGTGGGGCAGAGGACATAGATACCGGCCTGGAGATACAGGGAACAGCAGAGAGGGCCTCTGGGTAGGAGGTGACATGTCTGGCGGAAACCAGGGGCGGTCTGAAAACAGTCTGAGATAAGGGCACCACCCAGGCAAAGGCGAGAGGGAGGAGCAATATGGTTTCCACACTCATCCTCTATTTGAACTCTTGGCTCATGCCCTCCCTCAGCATCTCAAGATGCTAGACATCCAACAGGCTGCAGGATTTCACCCTTTACACAGGAAAAGTTGAGCTCTCAAAGCGCTACTGAAACACTCATACAGGTCTAAAGCCCTGGTCTCACACCAGCCACCATTGCTGGTACCATGATACTGAGACCTTCATGGTCAAACCTGCTCATTGTGATGAGAAGAACCTAGGACCAGATATAGATACATATGTGTATGCACATATATATAGATACATACACAGATGCACATACAGATAGATAGATAGATAGATAGATAGATAGATAGATAGATAGATAGATAGATAATGTACAGGGAAGAGGGCCTACTTGGGCACCTGTGACACTCCTGAGAACATACTTGAGCCCACTATAACTCCTTTTGCTCCTGAAGTTAGGGTTTCTTGGCCTTTTCCTCCAGGAAGGTCTCCTGGTCATCTTAGGGTAGACAATCAGAGCCTCTAAAGCTTACGTTCTATTGGCTGTTCTGTCTTGGACTCCCGGGAAGCCCCCATCCTTCCATCCTTCCATGCAGCTTGGTTGGCAAGTCACACACTCTGAGGCGTGGTAATCCTGGTGAACCACTTTCAAGGACTTTTCCTCCCAATGTGCCAGGATGCTCTGGAGCACAAAGGCAGAGTCTGGAAGTGGAGACTGTGGCTTCAAGGAGGTCACCCAAAGTCCCCACTGGAATCCTTTCTGCCCCTCCCTTTCAGATTAACCGAAACCTGCTAATTGTGGCAACCTCCGAAGGTTCCCCTCCCCCATAGCCTCTTTCTCCCTTCCCCTCCCCCTTTCATCCGAATGATAAAGGACCAGCCCGCCAGCCAGCCTGGCTTCAAACTCTGGCCCTGCCTCAGCACTCTACCTCAGCACTTTGAGCCCTTCAGTAGATCTCGATCCAGCTTAAGTTGCCTGCCTCCCCTGCATGGGGCCTTGTGACTCCAGCCTGGGGCCCCGAGAGGCAGAGTCAACCTCAAAGCCACCCAAGAGGAAGAAGAAGAGATACCTGCGACATGACAAGCCCCCGTACACCTACTTGGCTATGATCGCCTTGGTGATTCAGGCCGCACCCTCCCGCAGGCTGAAGCTGGCCCAGGTGAGCTCCCTCACACTTGGTGGTCAAGCCTTTCCCTGACCCATTCTCCCAGCAAACCAAGGACCAGGCTTGGCTTTTACCTCCACCTAGTCTTTCTGCTACCAAGACAGGTCCTGAAAGCTGAGTTACTCAGGGGACACCCTTCTCTCAGAACTGCATGCCTGTAGGCCTAGAAGTGTTCCCTTGTGAGGTGGGGAGGGTGCTGGGTAACCCCTGAACTCGATTCTGAGTGAGGGCTGGGGTGGTCCTCAATCCTGCTCACAGCCCTGGCTGCAACCTGGTTTCAGATCATTCGTCAGGTCCAGGCCATGTTCCCCTTCTTCAGGGATGACTACGAAGGCTGGAAGGACTCCATCCGCCACAACCTTTCCTCCAACCCGTGCTTCCGCAAGGTGGGGCAGGAAGGGGTCGGAGCCCAAGGGGAGGGGTGGGCAGGGAGGCCCTGAGCAACTGAAGTCCGAGGGCCCCTACTCAAGCCTACCTCTCCACACACACAGGTGCCCAAGGACCCTTCGAAGCCACAGGCCAAGGGTAACTTCTGGGTGGTGGATGTGAGCCTGATTCCGGCCGAGGCACTGCGGCTGCAGAACACTGCTCTGTGCCGGCGCTGGCAGGACCACGGTGGGCACAGAGCCTTTGCCAAGGACCTGAGCCCCTATGTGCTTCAAGGCAGGCCTTACCCCCCGCCCAGTCCCCCGCCACTCCCGAGGGAGGGCTTCAGCATCAAGTCCCTGCTAGGGGACCCCAAGGAGGGGGTAAGCTGGCCCCAGCAGTCCACCCAGGTCAGACAGAGCAGCCCAACTCAAGTAGGCACAGGGTCCCATAGGGAGGAGGTGGTGCCCACTCCACCCCTGTCCTCTGAGAGGCCTCTGTGGCCCCTCTGCCCTTTCCCAGGGCCCACTAGAGTAGAAAGGGAAGCTCCCCAGGGGCCAGTCGTCCGGCCATCACCTCTCTCCCCAGAGCCCAGTACCTGGCCCCTCCACTTATTGCAGGATACCCCAGACCCTGAGGGACTGTCCAGCAGGAGACAAAGGGCCTCTCTGTGGGGACAGCTGCCTACCTCCTACTTACCCATTTATACTCCAAATGTGGTAATGCCTTTGGCCCCACTACCACCCACCTCCTGTCCTGGGTGCCCACCTTCAAGTAATCCAGGCTATTGGGGGGTAGCTCCTGAATCCCAGGGGTCCCAGGGGCTGCTCTGGGATCTGGACTCTCTCTTCCAGGGAGTGCCACCCAACAAGAGCATCTATGATGTATGGGTTAGCCACCCTTGGGACCTGGCTGCTTCTGCCCCAGGCTGGCTGCTCTCCTGGTACAGCCTTTGAAGATTCTTGGACAGGGACTGCTTTTCTCTTATCCCCAGCTTGAGGGTAAACCTAGTTTAGGAAAGTCTCAAATGGCTACAACAATCTTGAAGCAGCAGGCATGGCCTTGCTGAGAATCCTGTTTTATTGGGTTGGTGGTCCCGGCAGGTACACCTGACCCTGGTCAGTCATGCCTCTGCCTCCCCCAGCCCCAGGGGCAGAGCTGGAGAAGCGGGTTCAGCCTGGGGTAGCCCTTCTTGGTCCCATCTTCTCAGGCTCACACACCATCTATCTGTCCATCCATCACTATCTGTCACTCCTCTCCCGGGCTCCAGGCTGGGGGAGGGACAGTCGAATGAGTCCAGGCTGAAGTCCTTCCTACCCTCCCTCAACTGTCTGGGAAGGAGGTAGCACCTTTTGAGGAAATGTTTAAGAAATGAAGACACAACCCTACATAACTCTTGGGGTGATGCTGTTGGGGAGATAACAGTAAAGGAATTTACAGCATTTTAATTTCAAGTCTGATTGGGGGGCAGGGATCCTGACTTGGGAAGCCACTTGGCCAGAGTCTGAGTCCTGGTTCCTGCAGCTCTGGGATCTCCTGCTGGGGACTGTGATAACAGGCAAATGGTGATAAGGAGAGCCGCGGGCTCTGGTCAGCTGGGGGGAGGGGGCAGTTATTTCTCCAGACATGACTCTGCTGGCTAAGAAGTGGGGGACAATTCGACATTAGAGGGAGCAGTCGAGCCCCAGGGGGCAAAGAGGTTACTGGGAGATGGGGTGTAGGAACTTTTCTACCACCTCTGCCGGCAGAGGCGCTACCTCAGCCCCGCCCACCCCAGGCAGGGCTTCTACCCAGGACTACAGGGGTGGGATCCCCGGGGCGGAGAGATCCAAGCCAGAGCCACTGCCCGGGCTGTGGCTTGGAGGGCTGCCGGGTGACGGCGTAGGAGTGCAGGGAGTTCCAGTGAGTGGGGTGTCGGTACTAAGGGAGGAAGGAGTCCCAGAGCCCGGGGCTCTGTGGCGCCGGGCTGGACCCAGTTCCACCTGACCCACTCGCTCAGCAAATTTGAGTGAGCAGACTGTCTCCCCGAGGTCTTCTGGCCGAGTGGAGATCTGCAAGGGAGCAGAGATGGTGGGTGGGAGGGTTCCATGGGTGGTGCCTGCCAGGCAGACGACCCTCCTAAGCCCCGTGCCATGCTGGCCCACCTGCAGGAGCAGGACTGCCGTGGTGCCTGGGCCCAGCGCCGGCTGAAGCAGGCGTGTGAGCTTGGAGTCTCGGAAGGGCACGTGTGGCCGCCGAGCGCGCAGGGCAGCCATCACACCCCCAAGTGCCAGCAGCGAGCGGTTGATAGTCTGGGCTTCTCGAAGACGCCGGGAGCCATGCAGGTCTCCCCTTGGCACGCTTGCTGCGGCCAGCTTCCATGCGCGCTCAGATCCTGCCAGGTCTACCAGGTGCAGCGTGCCTGTCGGGGATGTGCAAGACAGATGTGGAGACCGGCCAGACGTGTGAGACCTGTGGTGCATGGGAAAACCCCGGCGCTCGGTGCTGTACCTGCAGTGCCCTGAGCACAAGGAGCAGCGGCGGAGCACAACCGGAGCGTGACCAGGGCGTGGGAGCGGGAACTATGCTGGTTCATAGCAGTTGCAGCTGTGGCCCGGTTGCTCCTCCCCAGACTCAGCATCTGGAAAGAGCAGTCAGGACTGGCCTGGTGTGGGGTTCTCACCCCCCCCCCCCCCCCCCGCACAAGGACAGACCCTGGAGGGCAATCTTACCTGGTGAAGGGTCTCTAGGTCCGGCACATCCCAGTGTGTGAGACCAGCCACCTGGACCCCGCCCTGGCCTGCTGGCCCCTGCCTCACCACCAGGTGCGCTGGTGGTCCTGGGGCCAGGAGATCCCTGGTGAGAAAGGGGGTAAGCTTGGTGGCTCTGCCTGGCTCTAGGAATAGCCACAGAGGCCCTAGGCCAAACAGGAAGCAGTCCCCCGGGGCAGCCCAACCTGACTGCCTCATTGTAGATCTCCACCATGCTGAGGGTCACTCGGTGTTGGCCTCCAGTCTCCATTTCCTGGAACAGTGACTGCAGAGCCCGAGGGGCTATGCCAGGGTCCTCAGGTGGGCCCTAGGGATAGTGCAGTCCCACACTGGATTCACAGCCAAGTACCCAGGGCCTTGCCCTCCAAGCTGAGGTACTAACTCACCTCCATGCTGTAGGTCTTCCCAGACCCAGTCTGACCATAGGTGAAGATGCAGACACTGTAGCCTCTGAGGCAGGACAGCACAGCTGGCTCTAGCTGACTAAACACCTAAGGGCAAAAGGGGTGGGAAAATGTCTTGGTCCCTAATTTCCTGTTCAGAACCTGGAAAGGTAAGAAGTGCAACATAAGGTGAATGGAGTATATCTTGCCTGAGAAGTAACTCTAAGAGACCATAGTAGGTCACAGAGGAGACTCTACCTCCCTAGAAAAGGTGATAATTTCATTATTGTTATTTGAGTGTGTGTGTGTGTATGTGCACGCACATGTGGATGCTGGTTCTGGGATTTGAACTCGGCCTTGGCACTGTCCCTGAGCTTTTCCTAAAGGCAGTCCTCTACCACTTGAACCACAGTGCCACTTCCAGCTCTTTCTGAGTTTATTGGAAATAAGAGTCACACTGTCTTTTCTGCCTGGGCTGACTTCAAACTGAGATCCTCATATCTCGGTTTCCTGAGTAGTTGGGTTTACAGGCATGAGCCACCAACATCAGGCAAAAGGTGATTTTTTTTAAGAATTAACCAGGCAAGAGCTGGGGATGTGGATCAGTGGTAGAGTGCTTGCCTAGCATGCATGAAACCCTGGGTTCAATTCCTCAGTACCACATACACAGAAAAGATTGTAAGTGGCGCTGTGGCTCAAGTGGTAGAACACTAGCCTGGAACAAAAAGAAGCTCAGGGACAGTGCCCAGGCCCTGAGTTCAAGCTCCAGGACTGGCAAAAAAAAAAAAAAAAAAGAATTAACCAGGCAAAAAAGGGAATAGCATGTAGAGAATGTAGGATCCCAACACTACGTAGGAGATTCTGGCAGTAGCAGTTGAGGGCCAGATGCTGGGGCCTGATTGCCTAACACAAACTAGGCATTTACTCCCCATCCTTGAAGCCAGTTATTGTCCATCCTTTCTGCCTATTCCCCTCTGTAGCACCTATTTTGAGGGCTAACAGGCAACGTGACAGCCAGTCAGGGTCAGGGCAATACAAAGGATGTGCTCCGAAAAGGTGTGTGGTTGTGAAGGATAGTGGTCAGCCAAGACTGTTGGAGCCCGGTCCCTGAGAGGTAAAGAGAGGTGGCTGAGGGGGAACATGCAGCTGGGACATTTATCCTTTGACAACTGGTTACAGTAGCAGCCTTCTGAGCAACAGCATGGCCAGCTTCAGTACCAGAAGGTCCCTAATGCCTAGGTGGCTGTCACCTCTGCTTGAAGTATAGCTGATGGCACTGAGGACACAAGCTAAAATTACCAGAGTGGGTGCTAAGAATTCCTGATGGGGGGCGGGCTGGGAAGGTGGCTCAAGTGGTAGAGCGCTAGCCTTGAGCTGAAGAGCTGAGGGACAGCGCCCAAGCCCAGAGTTCAGGCCCCACGACCGGACCCAAAAAAAAAAAAAAAAGAATTCTTGATGGGGCAAAAGAATCACTGTGAATGTTGATGCAGAAATGAAAACACAGGTGAAGGGTTTCCTAACAGATGCCTCTGGTCCAGACACTAGATAGAGGACCCTGTCCAGAAGAGCTATGGCAGTGGGCAAGAGAAAGGGGGAGGGGGCAGTACAGAACTGTAGTTTGGGGTGGAGCTGAGGCTGGGAAACTCATGTGACAGAAGACAGGTAGATGCAAAGTGAGTCAGTACTGGGCTCTCTGCCCTTGCCTGCCCATCATCATCCGGCACCTGCAAGATCAGCTGGTGAATAGTCTCTTACCTAATCCATCTCAGCTACAGGAACTCCAGAGGCGTTGTATGTGCAAATGCAAAACAAGTTGGTGGGCTGGGACATGAGCCACTGCTTTTCTACTGATATCTAGCATGTAAATGGGATGCTCCTACAAGAGCAAGGTTCTGCCCCTACAGGTAGACAGTCTGAATCCTCAGGAGGAATGGTCAGCCCACGAAGCTTGAGGGGAGGAGGTACTAAGCCAACACCTGTGGGATAACTGTCCTCTACCACTAGCGTCCAGCCGTGCTCTACAGCCAGTTCTACCAAGCAGTAACTGTCACCTCAAACAAGTTCGTGCTCCTTAACACCCAGCTGAGTGGCCAGTCCTGCCTCCCAGGTATTCTAGTAGTTCCATTCCCTGCTGGAGCCCAGCTACCTTCCCTTTTCTAGGTGGACAAACAGACAAGCGAAGGAGAAATGGGCCTCTTTTGGACTTGTAAATTCAGGACAGGTGAAGAAAGCAGATGTCACCTCCTCCTGACTGGCATCTGGGGGAAAAACCCAGTCCAAGCAGAAGCGACGCTGGCGCCCTCTATAGCAGGTGGTGATGGTGCCACCAGGTCCAGGTTCCAGGCTCACCAGGCTAGAGGGTGTTCCGGGCCTCAGCCGACACAGGACTCGGATGTTTCCTGAAGTGGAGATCAGATCGGCAGATTGCTTCCTTGGCCCTGCAGCCTGGAGAGGCTAGACTTCCTCCAGCCTGCTCTTCCCCATTGCTCCCTGCCCCAAGCCACCATACCCTTGAGCTCCAACAGACGCCCTGGGCCTCCCGTTGGGGGCCTCTGATGCCCCTCAGGATGCTGAGCCACAGCTTTTTCAGATGACAGTGCCCCCAAGGCCCAGGACACCTGAGGACATAGGGATGTGAGGGAGGTAAAGACAGGTCTCCAGGCTGCTCCAAGTATAGTGGGGTGCTGAGAGCAAGAGAGAGTCACTGTGTGGCCACCAACTATGGTGGTCTACAAGTTCTCATGGCTCTCAGCCCCAGTGGGTCTGAGATGGAACCCAGTAATCTTAGGTAAGGACATTACACCATCTGTCTCTCTGCGTTTCTCAGCAATTCAGTTTCACAGAACAGTAACAGTGGGCCAACAACTGACCCACTGATGCATATCACTTCCCAAGGCTCAGAGGAAGAGATAACAGGGGCTCTCCCAGGAAGAACAACGAGAAGACTACCCATAGACACCAGGGAAGGAGGGAGCCTAACCTGACCCTGGGCCTCACTCAGTGAGCCCTGGCAGCTCTGGGTAAAGGTGCTGACCAGTCCTCGGAGGTCCCCACAGCCCTGACGAAGGCTGGCCATCCGTGCTCGAAGTCCTGGAGGAGGATGGCTGTTGAGAAGGAAAGCCCAAACCGCAGGGCGTTCCAGCCCTCTGCCCCCAGCCCTTACCTGCCAGCTGCCCATGCACCTGTTGTAGCTCCCGTCTGCAGTTCTGCTCTGTCTCCTGCTGGAGCTGCTGAAGGGCCCCTCGAAGGCCCTGCAGCTGCACCTCCTGAACTCCCAGCTGCCCCACCCAACCCCACCCGTCACTGAGGAAACAGGCACTCGCCAGACCCTACCTCACATGCCCCCTCCCAGTGTCTCAGCCCTCTTTATCTGTAGAACCCAAGCCCACCTGGACTCGGAGGGCTTCTGTGGTGTCTTGGGCCTCCTGAAGCCGGCCCTGGAGCTCCAACAGAGCCTCTGCCTCCTCCTGCAGGAGGGTGGGGGCTAGGTGGGCCACAGAGCCAGTTAGGAACTCAGGAAGGGGTATTCTGTGGGCCCATCTCACAGACAGGAAGGCCAAATCAAAAGTAGCCAGAACAGCTGAACCCATGACTCCCAGCTCCCTGCAGGGAGTTCCCCTAGTTCCTCTGCTTTCCTGGGATCACTGAGAGATATCATTAAAGAGGGTTCTGCAACTTATGTATCAGCTTCCTGAGAGACTGCCCTGCAAAGGCCATCCCAGGGCATGTCTGTAATCAAAGATGGTCCCCTGACAGGGCCTGCTACAGAAAGCACCAAGACCTGAGGGGGCTTAGGCATTGTTGGTGGATGACAGATGTGCTGTAGAAGCCTGGGCTTCAGGAATGGCAGCAGTCAGGGAGCAGGGTACCTGCGGAGGCCTAGTAGAGGGGCTTGGGCCCCAGTGTAACAGGAGGTCTCGAGTGAGGCTCAGGCTCTGCTTTAAGGCCTCATTCTCCAGTGTGAGATGCTGAACCCTTTTCTCTGAATCTGTTGCCCCCTGCAGAGAAAAAGAGAGGGAAGCCCTCAGGACCCACCTATATTCCAGTCCTCCTGACTGCTCCAGCCCCCCAGCAGCCTCACCGCTCCCAGGCGCAGGCGGCCCAGCTCTTCCTCCTGCTGCTCTAGCTGCTGCCGCAGCTCTTCCAGCTGCAAAGAGCCAAGACAGAAGGGAACTCCTTTTGGGAAGGAGCTCCCACTCCCCAATTCCTGCAGCTCTTGGGTCCCTCACCTGTCCAAGGATGAGCTGCTCTAGCCGCTGCCAAGCCCTCTGCTCTTCCTCCAACTGAGAAGGCTGCCGTCCCTGGGCCTCACCTGTGGGTGCCTCATTGAGGACAGGGGTGGGACAGGAGGGGTTTTCTTCTGGTGACAGAGATCCTGGAAATGAGTAGGATTGAGAAGGTGACTGTCCTGAATCCTGAGGAGCACAGCTGAGCTTAGGACTCCTTATTCCAGGCAGCCCATGTTCTGACAGACCTCCTCCCACAGGCTGTACCCCTTACAAACCATCTATGGTGGGGAGCTGCACTGGCAAGGCTGGCTGCGTTCCCTGAAGCAGAGCCTGCCTTCCCCTGGGGCTCCGAATCCATGTCAGAAGGGCCAAGAGCTGACTGGTCAAGGTCAATAGCGGAGGGACCTCACCAGGCTGTGGAGGACAGTAAGAAGAATAAGAGAGGGGCTGGGAAGGTGGCTGAGTGGTAGAGCGCTTGCCTTGCATGCATGAGGCCCTGGGTTTGATTCCTCAGCACCACATAAACAAAAAGAAAAAAGCTGGAAGTGGCGCTATGGCTCAAGTGGTAGAGCGCTAGCCTTGAGCTGAAGAGCTGAGGGACAGCGCCCAGGCCCAGAGTTCAGGCCCCATGACCGGACCCCCCCCCCCAAAAAAAAAGAAGAAGAGAAGAAAGCTGGGCACCTGTGGCTTACTCCTGTCATCCTAGCTATTCAAGAGACTAAGAGTTGAGGATCGTGGTTCAAAGCCAGTTGGTCAGGGAAGTCTGTGAGACTCATCTCCAGTTAACCACCAGACAACTGGAAGGGATGCTGTGGCTCAAAGTGGTAGAGAGCTAGCCTTGAGTAAAAGCTCAGGGACGGCGCCCAGGCCCTGAGTTCAAGCCCCACCATCGATCAACAAGCAGATAGATGATTGATAGATAGATAGATAGATAGGTAGATAGATAGATATAGAGGAGTGGTGGCTGGAGCAGCCTGTGCCCGCTCACCTGGTCTTGGTTGGGAGGGTTCGCGCAGCCCTCCTCTGCCCCCAGCTGGACGGACAGGAACTCGGCAAGGCGCAGGAGGGCTTCCTCCAGGGAAACCTCGGCCGGCCGGCCCTCAGCTCGCGCCTCCAGACCATCCTGGGCCTCGGAGCGGCCTGCGAGGCGGCGCGCGGGGGAGGGGTCCGTGTCACGTGCGGGAGGGTGGGGCTGCTCTCCCCCCAGTGAGGTCACCCCCTCTCCGGCAGGGCTACCCACCCCCCAGGGCTCCGAGGCCCCCCTTCCCTACCGGCCAGGCCGGTCAGCTCGGTCCACAGCTCCGACGAGAGCTGATCCGGGTGACGACGACCCCTGGGCTTGCATCCGGCCCCCTAGAGAGAGCGGGGCACCCCTAGGAGGGAGCGGGGGGCCCGCGAGGGGCTCCTGCCCCCCGGAGCCCGGCCGAGGCTGCGCCCGGCCCCTGCTTCCCACCCCCGGAGTCCCCGGCGACCGCGAGCTCCGGGCGTGAGCTGGGCCAGCCCGCCGCCGCGCCACCCGCCCCGCAGCCCCCCGCTCACCTGGGCGGGGTCCCCGGGGTCCGCAGCGGCCGCCGCCCCGCCATCCCTGCGGAAGAGGCTGTAGAAGATGTAGATGAGCAGCGAGTAGAAGGCATACATGGGCGCGCGGGGCGGCCGAGAGCCCCGCTACGTGCCGCCCCGCGTCCCGACTCCGCGCCGCACCCGCCCGCCGCAGTGCCCGTGCGCATGCTCGCGGCAGCCGCCCCCACGACGGGGCTCCCACGGGTGGAGGGCGCGCGCCAAGAGCGGGCGCGGGGACGGGGCCCCCCGACGTGGGAGGCACTGCGGCCTCGAGCCGGAGGGCTCCTCCCTTCTCCCTACCCTGCCGGCCGACCCCGTCTCCGTCTGACAGCACCCACAGCGGCCTCATCTCCCGAAGCCGCTCCCACGCTCGGAAGACAGACACTCGGGTTCCCGCAAGCAGCAGCCCTCTGTCAGGCACAGGCGTGCAGCCTCCGCGCCCCGCCCAGTGCCCATTGGACGCCCCACCTCCTCTCGAAGCCCCGCCCACACCCTCCTCCTATCACAGCCCCTCCCGGCCCCCGAAGCCCCGCCCAGGCCCCTCTCGGGGACGGCGACGTAGCCTTTGCAATCGGGCGCCTCACGGCCACCCGTTCCCCGCTCGCCGTTCCGGCAGCCTCTTTTCCAGCGCCGCCCCGCGAGAGCTCCCGCTGGCCTCTCCCGACCCCGCCTTGGCGCTCCAGCCGGCGCCCCCTCGCCCGGTGCCCGGCGGAAGGCGGCCGGGGAGGCGGGGCTGGTGGTGTCGAGCAGGTTCAGCTTCCAGCTTTGCGCCTCGCCTGGGGCCCGGCCGCCCGGCTCCCCGGCCGCCCGGCTCCCCGGCCCCCGGAGCTCCCCGGCCGCCCGGCTCCCCGGCCCCCGGAGCTCCCCGGCCGCCCGGCTCCCCGGCCCCCGGAGCTCCCCGGCCGCCCGGCTCCCCGGCCGCCCGGCTCCCCGGCCGCCCGGCTCCTCGGCCGCCCGGCTCCCCGGCCGCCCGGCTCCCCGGCCCCCGGAGCTCCCCGGCCGCCCGGCTCCCCGGCCCCCGGAGCTCCCCGGCCGCCCGGCTCCCCGGCCCCCGGAGCTCCCCGGCCGCCCGGCTCCCCGGCCGCCCGGCTCCCCGGCCGCCCGTCTCCCCGGCCCCCGGAGCTCCCCGGCCGCCCGGCTCCCCGGCCGCCCGGCTCCTCGCCCGGCCCTGGGACCGAGCCCAAGCCACCGCCGGGGCCTGCGCTTGGCGCCGCTCTGTCTCCTGGTCCCGAGGCTCCCTTTCTTGCTTCCCCAGTCCGGACCTTGCGTCTGGCCACCCCTCTCTCACCTGAATTAGAGTCCTTCTCCTCAGTTGGCCCAGTGGTCTCCGGGGTCCCCCAACTCAGCGTCTACTCGTGGAGCCGTGGCTTCCTGGAGAGCAGCCCTTAGGGCAAGGGCTTCGGTGCTTTTCTCTCTCCAAACTTGAAGATCCCCTTCCTGTCTTTTCAAATTTACTGTCATGGCCCCAAAGCCGGGAAGCGAATGGTGTACTGTCCTGTCCCACCTGGTGCTGGGAGCGGTGTCTCTGCATGCGGCCGCCAGCTCTGTGCAGGTGAGTATCCCCATCTCCACACCTAAGGCCCTCCCGCGCTTAGTGGAGACTCCACCACAGCTCTCTGCACTACAGTGGCTGGAGGCAAGTCTGGGGCCAGCTTTCCTTAAGACCCCCAAACGTTTGTGGTGTAAAAGGGTAGTCCTTGCTAGATACCGTGGCTCAGGTCCACGTGTGAACTCAGGACCTGGTTTTTGTCCCTTAGCTTTTTTTTTTTTTTTTTGCTCAAGTCTAATGCTCTGCCTACTTGAGCCACAACTCCACTTCTTTATTTTTGGAGATAAGAGTCTCATGGATTTTCCTGTCCAGACAGGTTTCAAACTTCAATCCTCAGATCTCAGCCTCCTGAGTATAGAGGATCACCCATGTCGTGGGGCTTGAATTTAAGGCCTGGGCACTGTCCCTGAGCTTTTTGCTCAAGGCGAGCACTCTACCATTTGAGCCACAGTGCCACTTCCAGTTTTCTGGTGGTTAATTGGAGATGAATCTCATGGACACTCTTGCCCAGGCTGGCTTCAAAACCATGATCCTCAGATCTCAGCCTCCCCAGTATCTAGGATTATAGGCATGAGCCATTAGTACCTGGCTCTGACAAGAACTCTTGATATTATTTGAAAAATAAAACAAAAAGGCTGGAGATGTGGCTTAAGTAGTAGAGGCCCTGAATTCAAAACCCCAAAACCACCAATAAATAAATAAATTAAATAAAGTGGTTCCTGGCTTTTCCCTACATGTCTTCCTTTTCCTGTATCAACAGTCAAGTCGAGGGGCTGCTGCTGGCTTCCTGCTCCAGGCTTTGGCTGCTGCCACCATGCTGGCCCCAGGGCTGAGCCCACATGAAGACTGTTTTGCTGGAGCCTGGGTGGCGACAGTAATCGGCCTGCCCCTTCTGGCCTTTGATTTCCACTGGGTGAATGGGGACCGATCCTCTGCCAACCTGCTACTGGGAGGAGGCATGGTGCTCGCTGTGGCTGGTGACCACCTTGGTCCTGAAGGCTGCTCTGTCGCTGGCCAGGCAGTGCTGTTGGTGGTCGCTGTGACCATCCTCATTGTGGCTGTCTTCACAGCCAACACTTATGGAATATGGGGGGGTGTGATGCTGGGGACCGCAGGCCTGCTAAGCCGTCTCGAAGAGGACAGGTTGCTGCTGCTGCTGAAGGAAGACATCTGTCGCTGGGCCCTGGCTGCAGGCAGTTGGGCCTACTGTCGAGCCCTGCACGCACAGCGCTCACAGTGGGAATGATAGATACAGCAGGACAGCCCCCTGCCCCGGCTACCATCTCCCCTCCACTGGCCTGCTCTTGGGGGGCCTACTCCTAAAGGCATTGGTTTTCCTTCTTCCTGAATTGAATCTGCTGCAGGTTGGGGCAGAGCCTGAATGCTGTCCCTTTTCTAAGGACTTGCCTAGACAAGAATAAAAGAGACTGGGTCCCAAGTCTGTTTGGGAATTGGTCATGTGAAGGGTATGGATCAAAAGAGGTTCGATTTCCAATAAACTTTAAAATTTCTCCAGGAATTTGGAATTAAGTCTTTTTTGTTTCTTTATTTTTGCCAATCTTGGGGCTTGAACTTGGGGCATGGGCACTATCCCTAAGCCTTTTTGTGTTCAAGGCTAGTGCCCTACCACTTGAGCCACAGCACCACTTCTGGCTTTTCCTGAGTTTATTGCAGATAGTCCCACAGACTTTCCTGTCTGGGTTGGCTTTGAACGAGATCCTGAGATCTCAGTCTCCTGAGTAGCTAGGATTACAGATGTGAACCACCAGCATTTGCTAATTAGTCCATCCTTGAGAAGGATTAGAGGGCCTTCATTGAGCATCTTAAAGCCCCTAAAACTCCATCTGGTTTCTCTGTGGGGATGTGCTGGAATTAGCATGCAACCTCATTCCTGGCACCTTTGCTAGGAGGGCTTCTGTGTTGGGAAGAGCTCCTTGCTCTGAGACATGGTAGGTTTGCAGGTATCCTTACTGGTCTTGGCAAGTGACCCTCTGAGCTGAGCTGTGCCACATGACGCCCGGAACCGCACATCCTTCTCTGGGGCTGACTCAATTGCTACCTGTGTGCCCTCTAGGTGTGCAAGCCAAGACCTTCACTTTAGCTCTGGATTCCTCCTCAGTCTCCAACCCCAGGGGTAGGAAACGGGGCTACACAGAGTATTGGATTTAAGGCTTGAAGTGCACCGCTCCCACGCAGTTCCTATGCTTGCATCCCGTGGAAGCATACCCTGTCCTGCAAAAGTCAGGGTCATTCGTGCCCTTCCCCTACAGTGAGCCAGGACAGGGCCCAGCACATGCAAATCTGTCTCTGGGGACAAGGGTGGGTGCAGGGATACCCCGTCGTGGGAGTCTGGGGATGCTCATTACAGCTCGCTCCCGCAGCCGCTGAGGAGGAAAAGGTGCAGTCCCCGACCCTCGCGCAGGCCTTGAGCTGCAGGTGTGCACCCCCAGCGGGCCGCCTGGACCCCGCCTTCTCCAGTCTACCTTCGGCAGAGGGCGGGCTCTCGGCGCCCTCGCTCACCCATTGGCTGTGCCTGCCGGCCCGTCTGGCCCCGGGCGGCGCTCCTATTGGCGCGCGAGGAACCACGTAGCGGGAAGAAGGGGGCGGTGGCGCGCGGGGGTGGGGCGCGCAGCGAAAACAAAGATGGCGGCCGCGCCGGGGTCGGTGGCCGGGGTGGCTGCGGGCCGACGCGCGGGCTGGGCCCTCTGAGGCGGCGGCGCGGCAAGCGGGCTGCGGGGTCGCAGCGGCGGCGAGAGGCCGGCAGGGGCGCGCGGTGCCCCTAACTTCCAGCCGGCGAGCGCGCCGGCACCCGCCCGCCGGGCCGGCCGGCCGCGATGTCCGGCGCGGAGGAGGCCGGCGGGGGCGGCCCGGCCGCAGGGCCCGCGGGTGCCGTGCCGGCCGGGGTCGGGGTCGGGGCTGGGCCCGGGGCGGCCGCGGGGCCGGCGGCGGCGGCGGCGCTGGGCGAGGCGGCGGGTCCCGGACTCCCGGACGAGGCGGGCCTGGCCGGCGCCCGGCAGCTGCAGGAGGCGGCCGGCGACCCCGACGCGCCGCCCAAGAAGCGGCTGCGGGCGGCCGAGGCGGCCGAGGCGGCGGCGGCCGCGGCGGCGGCCGGCAGCGGGAAGCTGGAGGAGCGGCTCTACTCGGTGCTGTGTTGCACCGTGTGCCTGGACCTGCCCAAAGCCTCCGTGTACCAGGTAGGGCCGCCGGCCCGGCGCCGCGTCTCCTCGAGGCCGGGCCCGGAGGCCGGTGGCCGGGTACCCTCTCCGATCCTCGCTCCGCCCTCCGCGCCCGCGGGCCCGCGCCGAGCCCGGAGCGCCCCTTTCGGCCTCGAGCCCCCCTTTGGGCGCTCCGGCTCTCACTTCCCGGCCTTGGCTTCCTTTCTTCCTTAGACCCTGCCTCTCTTCCAGGTTCCGTCAGGGTCCCTTCCTCGAGCCCTCCCCGCCCCCTCCGGCTGGCCGGGCCGAGGGCTGCGTCCAGGTGTCCGCGCTCCCCGCCTCGCCAGCGCCGCCCCTCGCTCCTGGGCGTCCGGGCGCCGGCCGGGGCCTCCGGAGTGCTTGGGTTCTGGCAGCCACACCCCCAACCGTGTCCCTCCACATCTGAACTCCTGTGCACATCTTTTTCTGCTCATCGGAGCCCTGTTTCCGTCCGAAGAA